TCACCCCCTCCCCTCCCTCATCACACAGGCTCTCTGACGGTCTCCATCACTGACATGAGGGCTCCTGTGGTGGGAGGCTCTGGCGGGGTCTACGCCCTGTGCTCGGCACACCTGGCCAACGTCGTGATGGTAACGGGGCTGCCTGGCCGGGGGTGAGGGGGGGAGCCCTGGCGTGCCTCATGGCCTCCCTGTCTGTACACCCCTATCAGAACTGGGCTGGGATGAGGTGTCCCTACAAGCTGCTGAGGATGGTGCTAGCCCTGGTGTGCAGTGAGTAGGGGCTGGGTGGGGGCTGGGGGGCTTCAGCCTGCAGCCAGGGCACCTCCCACCTGCCACATCCCTCTGCAGTGAGCTCCGAGGTGGGCCGGGCCGTGTGGCTGCGCTTCTCCCCGCCGCTGCCCGCCTCAGGCCCGCAGCCCAGCTTCATGGCGCACCTGGCTGGCGCGGTGGTGGGGGTGAGCATGGGCCTGACCATCCTGCGCAGCTATGAGGAGCGCCTGCGGGACCAGTGCGGCTGGTGGGTGGTGCTGCTGGCCTACGGCACTTTCCTGCTCTTCGCTGTCTTCTGGAACGTCTTCGCCTATGACCTGCTGGGCGCCCACATCCCCCCGCCACCCTGACCACTCCCAGGGGCCACGCAGGCCGGGGCTCGGGCACATGATGGCCGGCCTCCAGGTGGGCCTCCGCGTCTGCCTTCCATGAATGGACGTCTCAGGGCTGCTGCGCCCATGGGGCAGTCGGTCCTGAGTGCAGGCCAAGGCTTACCTCAGCCCTGGCCACCCCTGCCAGGCCTGGGAGAGGGCTGCTGGGCTGTGGCTGGGGGGGGGGAGGTCACCAAGGTGGCCTCCGAGGAGATCCCGTCCCACCCACTCCAGCCCAGGACTTGCAGTCTGAGCCTTTCTGGAGAATGAATAAATATTGTACACGGCACCAGGTGGCTGGCCGGGGCTCTACAGGCTTGACAGGCCCCGACTGCCATGAGGGCTTCCTCTCCCTGCACCTGAGCCTGGTGTGAGCCGAGGGAGTTGTGTGGGAGTTGGGGGTTCCTGGGAGGGCTGTGGGCCAGATGGGCAGGTCAGGAACGAATTCAGCAAGCCTTTATGAGCCTCTGTAGCAGCCAGCCCCGCTTCCAGTCTGCCTGAAGGCCTGAGGTTCGCAGCAGGTGAACAGGCCTGGGCCATGACCAAGTGCACTCAGCCAGAGTCCTGAACTTCTTGGCAGGCCTAGCATCCTCGTGGGTGGCCAGGCTGGGGCTGAGGTCGGGTAGTAAGTCTGGGCACAGCTTCTGCCCCACAGCCCACATCCACAGTGCTGTCTCCACAAGGTGAGGTGTCCACAGCCCTAAGGCACTGGCCAGGGAGAGGTACAGGGAATCCGGCCCAGAGGCACTGGCCACCCCACCCTGCCTGGAGTCCTGGCAGCCCTCCTCACTCACCAACAGTTCCCTTACCTCGGCTCAGAGCTGTGGCATGCTCTTGAACCTTGCCCAGGTACAGCAGGTGGTGCTTGAGGGTGTACTGCAGGGCCAGCAGGCCAGACACTGAGACCACTGCCTCATCTGACATGAAGGCTGCCACCTCTGGAGCTTCGGCCACCAGGACTGCTGTGGGCAGTGCAGAAACAGTTCGCAGGCCCTACAAGTCATGGGACAAACTCTGGAAAACCCCGCCCTGGACCATGGGGCTTCTGTTCTCAGCGATGGCCGTGCATTTATGGTCAGACAGCTCAGCTGCGGGGACACGGCCGCTGGCCACTTCACTGACTAGGATGCCTGTGTGCCCAGGTCATACCCTCCGGCTCACCCGAGGCGGTGGCGGCCCCCAGGTCGGAGACCGCGACTCGCATGTCCGGCAGGAGGCAGACGTGACGGCTGAGCGTTGCGCCACGAGCTCCGGGGGCGGTTGGCGGCCACCAACTGCTGCGGACGCGGCCACTCTGCAGGCCGGCGGATCAGGGGGACCCTGGTGTAGGTGGCCCTTGCCAGGAGGGCCCCGCCCCCGGAGGAAGCCCCGCACCAGGGAGGCCCCGCCCCCCTGCGGTACGCCCCTCATCGCGAGCTTCCACCCCCTCAGCCGTTCCAGCTCCTCTCGTGTCACGTGCTTCGCTGGGGCCCCGATGGCCGCAGGCAGCTCCTCCTCGAACCCGCGAGGGCGGCGAGAGGAGTCCAGGCACGGGGCACGCCCACCCTACCGAATCCTGCGTCTCTTGCCGCCCTACCAATGGTCCAGGGCTTCCAGCCGTCACCCGGGGCCCGCGTGCGCGTGCAGCACGTCTCGGTGGCGCTCCAGGGCGGCCGCCCAGTGGCTCGGGTCCTCGCAGCCCCACAGCAGGCGGGCAGCCGCACGTCTGGCGGAGAGTCCGAGGCCTCGGCGCCCCCGGGGGCGGGGCCGGCTGCTGGGGCGGGGCACCTGTGGTTCCGGGCGGAGCCTCTCTGCGGTGGGGGCTGGAAAGGCCGTCTGCTGGGGGCGGGGCCGCTACGATTCGGGGTGGAGCCGACTGCTGAAGGCGGGGCCTGGGTTGCGGACGGAACCGGCGGCCAGAGACGGAGCCTCAGTGGGGCGGACTAGGGGCGGAGCCTATGCGGTTCCGGGCGGGGCCAACTGCTAGGAGCGGAGCCTCTGCGGGGTGGGACCGGCGACTGGAGCGGGGCCTATGCGGTTCCGGCTGCTAGGGGCGGAGCTTCTGCCGGGTGATACGTGCGACTGGGGACCGAACCTATGCAGTTGCGGGCGGAGCTGGCGGCTAGGGGCGGAGCTTCTGCGGGGTGGGACCAGCGGCTGGGGCGGGACCTATGCGGCTCCGGGCGGCACCGGCTGCTAGGGGTGGAGCTTCTGTGGGGAGGGACCGGCGGCTGGGCGCGGGGCCTCTGACACAGGGCGGGCCTGGCTACTCGGGGCGGGGCCTCTGCGGGACGGGGTTGGCGGCTGG